TTTTTTTTTTTTTTTTTTTTTTTTTTTATTAAATTCTATAATTAATTTTATATTTCAAGATTTATCATGATATCAAAATTAAAGGTAAGAAGGATAATGAATATTGTGAAATGAAAGTATTATGAATATATAAAATTGTAATAATAATAACATTTATTTATATATTTTACATTAGAATTAAAATTTATCATTTACGGATTTTTTCTTAATGGTTTTAAACTTATTAGAATTATTTTATTTCTTTCAAGTTAGTTTAATTGGTAATGGTGTGGATCCGGTGGCTGACCTTGAAACGAGTTTCTGCTGCTTATAGTCACAGATACTACGCATGCGCACATCGTCGATGTTGCCAGATTGCAGATTATTTTGGAATTATTTTCAGAAGAAAACAAATGTGTGATTTTCAAAGCGTTTTTTTGTCAATGTATACCGTATGATTGAAAACACCATCAGTTGGCTGCGAAATGAGGATCGATGACATTTCCATATAAAGTGACGGCGATCTTCATTTCATATTCATCATGACGCCACTTTTTCGATCATGCGATATTATTTTGGTATTATTTTAATATTCACACAATACGTGAACGCTTATTATGTATTTTCATAGTCAATAAAATTAAATAGAAATAAAACTCTAATCTAATTGCTCTAGATTTGTTATACTACGTTTAAAAGTGCTTTATTAAAAATTCGCAAAATTAAGGGATGTCCGGGTTTTCTTTTTTGAATTTTTAAATGCTGTAGCGCCATGTCATGTTCATAACAGATTTTATAACATTCCATTAAAACTACGTAGGCGTTAAAAAGGTCTCAGTAATTATAACTGTAGAAATTGAGCAGTGATAATAGGTACCTTGTTTTGTATCTGCTTATATTGCATTAATTTTTTTTTTAATTTTCAGCAATCGTGAAGCTTTTTAATTTATAATGATTTTATTAACATATAATATGATTTATAAACAATATTTTCCTAATGGAAAGGATTTGCAGGTATTAAGATATCTTATAATTTATTCTCCACACCACAAAGTATATCTAGTAGAGGTATTAAGACATAAAATTATAAAATATCTTAATATAAATCACAAACTAGCAAGTTTTAAGTTAGTCTAATAAGATCAGAAATGAATCTTCACCATGTGCTCCAAGATATTGGTATTATATAGGAAAGAAATTACAGTAAATTAAAAATACAGGATAGTAAGTACACGCAATCCAACAGAAAAACAGTAACAGAAAAACATAAAGCATAAAACTTATTTTTACCCATTTTTTTTTTTTTTTTTTCGTTAATACGGTATATACCTACAATGGCTGCAATAAATGTGTCATATTGATGATACAAAATAATTCTAATGGGTTTAAAACTAATGAAGAAAAATCCGTAAGTAGTAATTTTTAATTATAATGTAAAATATATAAATAAATGTATTATTATTACATTGTTATTTTACTTAGAACTCCGATTACAATTATAATACCTTAACTTCACAATCTCCATTATCCTTCTTACCTTAATTTTTGATATCAAGATAAATCTGAAATTATAAAATTAATTGTAGAATTTGAAATATTATTATTGCTGATTAACAGTCAAAAACATTTGTCTTTGACTAAAATTAATTCCGAAAATAAACTGCAATGTGGCAACATCGACGATGTGCGCTTGCGTAGGATCGATGATCAAATGCAGAAAATATGGGCTTCAAGGTCAGCCACCGGATCCACACCTTTACCCCAAATTTTATACCTCACAGGTTGATTAATTAACTTTAATCTTAATTTTTTTAAACCAGTACCTTTTGACATTATTTTTCTGCAGTACTAAAATCCATTATTTTACCTATCGTCTGATGTCGATATTTTACAGCTATAGTCTTTGCCGATACGCCACCGATACGCCGTTTTTAGGGTAGTGTGGCATAGCCCTGACTAAACCGATAACGCCGCTACATTGACAGATGTTACCCGCTCATAATGGAATTTTTAGGCTAGCCACCGTTTCGCGCGCATTTTGGGAGTCAACCTTCTGGTTGATTTGTATTTTGGTTTGGTTTGATTTCTATTTTGTGGTAAAGCGGTCACGACGGCGGCGGCGCGGTGACTTGTGTCTAGCCCTAGCAGGCAACTATTAAACCCGACCAATCACGTTAGAGTTTTGACAAACACAAATGAATTAACACCCTTCAAATAACCACGCTAACCAACCTGATTGGTCAAGCTTAATAGTTGACTGCTAGGGCTAGACACTTCTGGCGCGAGGTGGCCGGGGTGGCCCACCAGCCACCATCATTAATAAAGAACATTTGGAGTTACGCACTTTAGACTACGAGGCGCAGAATATCACAGCTGCACCCAACAGAAGCCTTACGTTACATGTATACATAGGTAGCAAAGGAGACAGGCTTTAAGAGTCTGTCTCCAAATCAGATATTTTGATGTGGTAGTTTCGCTACTACATAATAGAGAGACGAAAATGAAATTTAAAGAAAAAAAAACAGTTTTCTACAAACAAAGTTTAAAAATTTTTGTGCAGTACCATAATGTAATTCATATCGTAATACTTCCAGATAAAGCCTACCTTCAAATTTGCCACATCATTTAAACATATTAAAATAGATCACAGCTGTTTTTTTCAGTTTGCCATGTTAGTTGGAATGAAATCTTATGAGCTAAATTACAATCACTTCCTGACGTTTTATTGTATAGTGGATCTCAATTTTCATTTGTAATTCGGCGACAATATAAATGTGTTCTACTGTGTATGATACTACCTCTGACGTTCGAGTGTGTTCATACCAAGTTCATATCGTATAATTGGGAAAAACAGCGTTAGCGATAGCTATGAAATGAATATCACTGTCATTTATATTTAAATTTATGTAAGAATGTCATCGATCGTCCTTTTTCAGCCAACTGGACGCTGTTTTTTTCGAAGCATATCAAGTGATACCATAATATAGTACGATACATGGCGTTCGTTTGGGCTTAAACTTGGTATACTATCTTCAGTGACATTGTAATATCAGCCATGGTACCATGGAACATATAAAGTGTTACCTTCTATGGTACCATTTGATAACATAGCAATATTAGGTACATGGCAGCAATAGGGCTTAAACTTAGTATATTTATATTACGTATTTTCAGTGACATTGTAATATAATTGTACTATGATGCATATCATCTGGGTACCATAATATAGTACCATATTATGTACATGGCGTTCGGTTGGGCTTAAATTTGGGATACTACGTATCTTCGGTGATATTAATAATATTATGAACCATGGAGCGTAATGGAGACCTGTAATATGGTACCATATTACGATACCATTTCCTGGCGTTCAATTAGACAGAAGCTTTGTTATACTACGTATCTTCGGTTACATTGTAATATGATGGTGCTATAATGCATATAAAGTGGTACCTTAATATGGTACCATATTTTAATACCATTTCCTGGCGTTCGATTGAGCTCATGTTTGATATATACTTGCGTATTTTGATGACATTTACATTATTATGGTACCATGAAGCATATCAACTGGTACCGTAATGGTACTATATTACGTACATGGCGTTCGATTAGGCTTAAACTTGGGATACTACATTTTCGGTGATATTGTAATATGATGGTACTATGATGCATATAAAATTGGGGTACCTTAATATGGTACCATATTACGATACCATTTCTTGGCGTTCGATTGGGTTCAAACTTGGTATACTACATATCTTCGGTTACATTGTAATATGATGGGTACTATGTCATATACATATAAAGTGGTACCTTAATATGGTACCATATTACGATACCATTTCCTGGCGTTCGATTGGGCTCAAACTTAGTATACTACGTATCTTCGGTTGCATTGTAATATGATTGAACTACTATGATGTATATAAAGTGGTACCTAATATAGTACCATATTACGATACCATTTCATGGCGTTCGATTGTTCTTAAATTTGGTATACTACGGATCTTCGGTGACATTATTGCAGTATTATGGTACCTTAAAGTATATCGAGTGGTACCATAATATAATACACTATTATGATATCATTTCCTGGAGTTCGATTAGGCCCAAATTTGGTATGCTTGCGTTCTTTATAAAAGTTTGTTTAATTAATAATTTTAATATATTTTATGGTGCAATTTATTGTTCGATGTCGGTGACAGCAACTTTTATGCCGAACTAATATATTATTAATTGTACCTGTGTCACTTTTTAAAATCTACCGAGGTCTATAATATATAAATAATGCTTAATGGCAAATGGAAGAAATTTGTTATTATAGTATTTTTTGGTCAGTTAACATTTTTTTGTACTGCATTTTAATAGAAATTATTTCTATTTCATTACTAACGTTCCAGCATTAATAAATATCACTATCAATCGCCCTGTATATTGGTAATTTTAAAGGTAATTAAAGATATTTCTAAATTATAAAAAAAAAAAAAAAAAAAATATATTAAAATGTATATCTTTTGTAATAGTATGCTTAAAACTATTTTAATAGCCAAGAATAATTAATATAAATTGTATCTGACAAGAGAAGAAGAATAGAAAGAAACACATACTACATTATACACAATAAAAGATGGGATGCCAGTTCAAGTCTTTTTGAATCTGGCAACTGTGCATATTTAGCCGAACTATAAGGCCGTCGACGAACCGTCGATCCAAAACCGAAAGTTCAAAATTTCTAATTATATTCTGATTATGATATTGTCGCGCCATCTAGTATTCTATTTGTGCAATTTTAGCTCTTTCATTTCGAGTATTTTTCTGCTGCGTAGCTAGATATTCTGTGCTACGAGGTATGGAAATGAAAAAACTAAATCAATATATATTCATCCTCGAGCATTAGATATTTAATTAAAGTTCTTCATTCAAATAAAGTGGCTATATCCACATCCACAGGGGAACCTGAATTATTGGACTTACAGTTGGTTATTAATTGTTATAATAATCAAATGTATTATAATTATGAATAAATAAAAAATGTATTTTGAATTTTATATTACATCACAGTATTAGACTTATTACTATTAGAGATAGAGATTTATTTATATACTCTTAACATTAACTCCAACTGCTTCTGATATATTCTTATAACCATCCTCCTCCAACAGCTTGGACAATTCTTTTTTAATTTTTGTTACTACTGGAGGACCTTCAAACACTATACTGGAATATAATTGTACCAGACTTGCCCCTGCTTTAATTTTTTCATATGCATCTCTACCTGATGCTACACCTCCAACACCTGGACATCAAATAATATTATTTATACGAAATTCTAATTAAATTAGAAAAATATTACCAATTATTGGTATTCCATTTGTAAGCTGACTCATTTCTAATATCATATTAGTTGACACATCTTTTAAAGGCTCTCCACTAAGGCCACCTGTTTCATTTTTATGTTCACTCTTTAATTGAGGCCTTTCAATAGTTGTGTTACATATTATTAAACCATCAACCTATAAAACTTGTATTAGTACATTATTGAGTTAACAACTTAAATTTAATCAAGCTACTTTACAGTCCGGCTGTTTTATTACATCAGCTATATCTCTCCTTTGGTTGTGTGTTAAATCTGGTGCTAATTTTAGTAACAAAGGAGGTTTAGGAGAAACTTCTAAATTATTTCTAGTAAGTATGACTGCTTTCAGTAATTGTCTTAAACTCTCCTTATTTTGTAAAGATCGTAAGTTGGGTGTATTGGGACTAAAATTATATGTATAGTTAAATATGCATTCTTTCTTATACTGTATACACATTTTCTCACCTACTAATATTAATAACTAGATAATCAGATATACTACCAAAGGTATTTATACCTTTTACGTAGTCTGAAATTGAATCATCTGATGTTTTATTTTTACCTAAATTAACTCCTATGATTACTGGAGAATCTAAGTGTGTTTTGGCATCTTTTAATCTTTCAAATACTACTGTATGGCCTTCACTGTTAAAACCATATCTAAAAGATACTACTAATATGTATAAACATACTTATAACAAAAAGATAATCTACCTATTAATTATTGCCCGGTCATTAGATAATCGAAAAACTCTAGGCTTTTCATTTCCTGGTTGAGGTAACGGGGTAACTGAGCCCACTTCTATAAAACCAAATCCTATATCTTTCAATCCCATAACAGCCTTTCCATCTTTATCAAAGCCTGCAGCAATACCAATTGGATTTGCAAAAGTTTTATTAAACACGGTTGTACTCTAAAATATTTAAAATTTTATTACATTATTTAAATTACAAAATTAAGACTTACCAGAGTATTAGGGTCTTTGTATTTACTAACAGGAGTTAGTCTGTATTGACTCGTTATAACAGCTAACTTATGTGCTTGTTCTGGATCCAGTAAGTGAATAACTGGCATAACAAAGTTTTTGTAAAATTTTTCGTCCCCTTTATATATACATATGCCTGAGAAAGCTCCTATGGCTCCAACAGTGACATAAAATAAAGATTTCATTTTTTTCTAAAATATAAGATGAAATAATTTTTAATGATAGAGCTACTTAATATCTATGTTTATAATGTATTACTTCAAAAGACAGTCTCATTTTCTCTGTTTCAAATTGCTAAATACTAAAAATAATAATCTTTCTGTGCTATCTTAAATCTGTTTTGAAATTAATTATAAAATTTAAAAAAGCACTGTTTGTTTTGAACACAAAAATGTTATGATAACCTTAAAACTTCATAATTTTCTTCCATTTTTCCTTAGACAAGCATTTTTCTTATTTCAAAGCTTCAGATTAATAATAAAAGGAGGAGCGCCATCATATACATTTTTTTCTGGGATATACAGTAGTAATGAGCAGAAAAAAACAAAATGGAGCGAAGGAGACATGATAAAAAGATAATTTTTTTTTTGTTTTTTTTGCTTCCGAAGACGGAAAGAGATAAACTTTCCGAAACGTTAAGCAATTTTTTTTGTTAGACAAATTTGTATAACTGTAAACATAACTTCTGACAAGTAGTGTCCGTTTGGGTTTAACGTAGAACTCGCAGAAGTGTTTACAAAAAATAACTATTTTATTTTGTAGATTTTCTTGCAGTGCAGTGGCGAAACACCCATTTAGGATTTTTTTAGAGAGATGATAAAGAGATTTTATATAATAAGAAAAAATGGTAATTTTTTTTATTAAACCAGGATCAAACGGATTATCGTTATCACAGTTTTGGGTAATACCCAATTTTGTAATATCAGGGTAAGTCTTAAATAAGTGCAAATATTTTCAGGGCTGGCAGATCTTGATAAAAGAAATATATTTTCTCTTTACGGCTTTTCAAATAAGTCCAATATAACCGTGTTATTTTACTTTGAAAATGTCCAAAAAAACATTTTTACTTAAATTTTGAGAACCACTCAGGGTGCAGCCACACTATCCTAAAAACGGCGTATCGACGTAACGGCGTAATGACCTTGAATAGATTTCCAGTAATTCTATTGGCTGAAACATTCATCTGTCAGAAATTTTATCTGTCAAATTCATCTGTCAAAAATTTCAGCCAATAGAATTACTGGAAATAAATTCAAGGTGGTTACGCCGTTACGCCGATACGCCGTCTTTAGGATAGTGTGGCTGCACCCTTTGTATCCTAAAGACGGCGTATCGGCGTAACGGCGTAATCACCTTGAATTGATTTCCAGTAATTCTATTGGCTGAAATTTTTGACAGATGAATTTGACAGATAAAATTTCTGACAGATGAATTTTTCCGCCAATAGAATTACTGGAAATCTATTCAAGGCATATACGTATTACTTTTTACAAATATACTCAGCCTAATATCCAAAAAGTGAAGCCCAAACAGTGAAAGAACAATATGGAATTCTGCATAAGTCTATTTCACCCGGATATTCATTTAACTGAGCATGCCTCACCTGAAGAAGTTTTCATTGGTCGATGTTTTGAAAGGGAAGTGGTTGACTGACATTTCCCCTAACCTTCAATTTTATTTATACTTTTATTATTTATAACACATTATCATGGAGTTGGAAAAATATCAAAAAATAGTTGGAAACAATAAACTAAACAAAATCACTCTTTTACGCGCACAAATAAAAAGTATCCAAACAGAACTAAAACAACAATCAATCGGAGTTTGGCGCAATCGCAGTTCAATCCATATCCGGGTGAAATAGACTTATGCAGTTTTAATATGGAGCTGGGTTATGTTGTCTTTTTCTTACGGCACAGAAATTGCACACGGGGTTAAATAGGGAACCCTGAGTATATTTGTAAAAAGTAATACGTAAATGATTCAAGGTCGTTACGCCGTTACGCCGATACGCCACCGCCGTTTTTAGGATAGTGTGGATGCACCCTCAGAAATATAGAGATAGGAACCACGGAACCACTGGATCTTTTTGGGTTTTCTTTCTTGTAAATTTAATTTACTACCTATGTTGCCATATTATGAAGAAATTATTTTTTTTTAACTAAAACTAAAAAATTCTAATAAAATTCTATATTCATGGTCCAAAAACCAAAAGGGACCACAAATCACAGTTCTAGTTTATTACCTGTGTTTATTACATAAAATATAGAGCCAAAGAATATTAGAGCTTATTATTTTATGGACCACGGAAGGGATACATTTTTTCCAGTATATCGATAACTATCGATAGGTTATCGAATAACAAATATCGATAGTTGAATTGCGATACTTGTCGATAAGTAAAATCCACTATCGCCCATCCCTAGATACCATAGACCTAGAGACACATAGACCCACCACCCGCGCTAGACCTTCCAGCTCAAAGTCCCAAAAAGCTACAGCAGCAAAACAAAATAAGACAAGGTTAGTAGGTTAGTTACTTCATGTCTGTGGTCGGCCCGTTCATTAACTACATGAAAACTACGTTAATAATTTATGTATTGATATTATGAATAATTTTCATTTGTATGAGGTGTAATAGAGATAATATGATGTAAATATTATATTTAAAGACATATTTCTTCTGTTTTCTTAAATACATTATGTGTTTTTAAAGCTTCAACTTATTATAACCTCACCTCAAACCATTGATATTTGAAAGTTACATACATAGGTTACATAAACTACACCCTCTACATAAACTACATTAACTACATGTAATGTAGTTTTTAAAAGTAACATGTAGTTTTCCGAACCCTGGTGGTCGGCAAGAACAGTTAACCCATAGAGTTAACCTAATAGGACTGCTCATTCAGCCAAAAGTGCCCGCCAGGTGCATGCGAAAACTACTCGCTTTGTGACGTCATTGTAGCCCTTGTCATGGTTATTGTGACCGAAGGCATATTTTGAGCATTATGAGCGCTTAGTGGAACGCACTCGGAGTGTAGAGGTAATCTCGACCAATCAGACTGGTTGAATCCGGAATGCCATGATGAATTTTGTCAGCGTTGCCAGCTTACCCTAAGCGGACATTATCTTAAGGAAATACTTTACCTTTTATAATAGTCAGAATGAACGAACACTGTTAATTAGATAAATATACATTATTACAATAAGAACTACGTCAACATATTAGCATATATATAATTATGTATGCTGAAATGAACTAAAATATATTCAATTTATAGGTATAGTCTGTGAAACGAATAACTTTGAATTTGACAGTTCCCGCGGGCTTTTCTAGTGTTAATTTTATTAGGTTAGCAACTTGCGGCCATGCTGACGCAATGCCGTCTCTAATAGAACAGCCTCGGAGCGAGATTTATGACGTCACGCTAATATAATTATTCCTTATATTTGACTATGGCTGAAATCGTACTCCATAGTCAATGTAGGTAGTTTTAGTGTTAAGAATAATAATTTTAAAAAATATGTGGTCATCTTTTGACAAGTGTATATTAGTTTATTAATTGCAGTAAACATTATGTGGTGTGTGGTGTGAATATTTTATATGCAATTTTTTGGATTATATTCGACACTATTTTTTTTATATGACACAACACTGATGAAGGCTATAATGTTAACCGAAACGTTTTTTTTAAACCAAAAAAATAACGAAAAACCAAATGAAAACTTAATCAGCGTTTTTCCTGAACCTAAATCCCAAGAAAATTAAAAATTTTAGAATAATTTTACATTATAAAATGAAAGCGATCTTTATTTCGTAGCCATCGCTGACGCATTTTTTTCTATGATATTGTATTCTTTGCAAATATAATTTTTCGAACATTGATACTTGCAAAATATATGTACATATAAATTTTGTGAATGCAAATAATAATACATCACTATTAGTATACCTATATTGAATGTTTTTTGTTAAATTAGATCGATTTTCAAACCCCAAAATTTAAAATATATTTTACATTTTACCCATTATCTTATGTACCTATTCATTATTTGTATATTGTAAAACATTTGCTGCATTTGTATGGTTCATAGTTTATTTGCCAAAGTATTTATTACTATAAATAGGTATATATATTATATTTATTAACTGTATATTATGTATATTTCATGTAAACTATATCATTTTTAAAATACAAACCAAAAATACGAGGAATAATTATGTTTTCCATGTATTCTACAACATTAATCCGTATCTAATTAGCGTGACGTCATAAATCTTGCTGCGAGGCTGTTCTATTAGAGACGGCATTGGTCTGATATTTAGAAATGTCAAAAGCTGACAACTTTTTTGACAATTATGCCATTTCGAGAAGAGGGGGTGACTTGGTGACTTGAGAACTGTCACTTGTTTTATTATTTTCCTTTTCTATTTCACGAAAGTAAAAAGAGTTACCCAGGAGTTACCTATCTGATTCGTTCAGGCACTCAATTTAAAGAATACTTAAAGAATATCAGTAACTTTTTTGACAGAGGGATTTTATATTTGCCATGTTGGTAAAAAATAACGGTCAAAATTCAAAGTTATTAATTTTATAGACTATAATATCGAGCAACTTTGCTTTTCTATAATTAAACGTGACAACATCCACTTTTGGTAAAGGTGTGGATCCGGTGGCTGACCTTGAAGCCCATATTTGCTGCATTTGATCATCGATACTACGCAAGCGCACATCGTCGATGTTGCCAAATTGCAGTTTATTTTCGAATTATTTTTAGTTAAAAACAAATGTTTTAATAATACAAAATCTATAATTAATTTTATAATTTCAGATTTATCTTGATATCAAAAATTAAGGTAAGAAGGATAATGAAGATTGTGAAATGAAAGTATTATGAATATATAAAAGTGTAATAATAATAACATTTATATATTTACATTAGAATTAAAAATTATCATTTACGGATTTTTTCTTAATGGTTTTAAACTTATTAGAATTATTTTATTTCTTTCAAGTTATTTAATTTCTAGTTATTTACAGGCAACAATAGTTTTGATTATACATATGTATTGATGTATTGAAGTACTACCATGACGAGTCTTATAGAACAATACACGTCAATGGGAGATAGAGGTAATATTTTACCTATAATGTTACTAATATAATATACTTTGATTATAATGTTTAATGTTTGTATCATATAATTTCTTAAAAATATCAAGTTAGTGGATTAATAGCAATTTTAGACATATTTTATCGAAGAGTGTATTGATAAGACTAAATTAAACTTTATATTTTATCTTTTTCTCTTTAGAAGGGAGATGGTTTGTGTCCTAGAATACATTACAGTATTTAATATCGTGAACTTTGATATTCTTTTCTTAATTTACTGTAATTTCTTGTTTCCTATAATGCCAAATCTTGACAATATGGTGAAGCTTGAGTTTTAATCTTATTAGTTTTATACCTGTGTTTATACAAGACCAAATTAAGACTTTTTAGTTTGTGATTAATATTAAGATCTTTCTTATAATATTTGAATGTCTTAATCTTAATACTATATTATGCTTTGTATGGAAAATAAATGTTAAAATATCTTAATTTTGCATATCCTATTCCATCCTTCCATAGTTTATAAATCATATATGCTAAGAAAATCACATAAATTAGTTTTAAGAATAGAGAAATCTTAAGGTAGCAGAAAAATTAATGCAATATATGTATAAGCAGAATTATTAAACAAAAGGTAACTGTTAATGTTGCTGAAGCTGATTCTACAATTTTAATTACGGAGGCTAAAAGGCCTTTTAAGTAGTAGTTTTGATGGAATGTTAAAAAAACCTATTATGAATATGACATGGAGCTACAGCATTTAAAAATTTAAAAATAGGGAAAAACTTGGACATATCCTTTTTAATTTCCCGAATTTTTAATAAAGCACTTTTTAAACGTAGCATAATAATCTAGAGCAATTAGATTAATTATAGGAATCTAGAGTTTTATTTATATTTAATTTTATTGACAATGAAAATACATAATAAGCGTTCACGTGTTGTGCGAAATATTAAAATAATAATATAAATAATATACCGCGTACTATGATTGAAAAAAAATAGCGTCAGCGATGACTATGAAATGAAGATAGCTGTCATTTTATATGGGAAATGTCCTCAATCGTCATTTCCCAGCCAACTGGACGCCGTTCGATCATACGGTATATATTGACAAAAAAAAACTGAAAAGCACATATTTGTTTTCTACTGAAAATAATTCCAAAATAACTTGCAATTTAGCAACATCAAAGATGTGCGCATGCGTAGTGTATGTGACTATATGCAGCAAAAACTCGTTTCAAGGTCAGCCACCGGATCCACACCATTACCCCACTTTTTTTGTCCGAATTCCTTCCCCTGTTTTAGATTCGTTTGTCAGATAATAGCTTTTTTCGGGTTATTGTTATTACCGATTCTGAACCGTCCTAGAACTGTGATGCGTATGCGCAGAAGGAAATATGAAGACATTATTTCATTTGCGCATGCGCTGCCGAGTTCTAGGACGGTTCAGAATCGGTAACAGTGTTGCCAGATATACCATTTAAATGGTATCTATACCATTTTTTCTTCCTTGATACCTGCAAAAATTTTGAGTATACCATTTTCCATTTTTCTACCATTTTTTGAAGACGTTACCATTTTTCTACCATTTTTTTAGAATCCCAGCGATCTACATTTTTTAAACTTTTTAATGCAAACCAATCTAGTTTTCCCACATCTACTAAAAATATGAAGCACATCTCTATTAGGCTATCTCATATCTCTATTATTTTTTATAGGTATTATTTCTTGAAAAGTTTTATTTTATTCTAAGTCTATGGTTTTACCTATATTTTCAGAGCCAAATATGTAGATTATTAATGCTGAATTATTAATAATATATTTTATGTTACCTATCTATTTAAAATGTTCCCATTACCTTATTATTATATTAGGTCTGTTCGTTTTCCTGTTATTATCGATTCTGAATTGTCCAAGAACTCTCCAGCGCATGCGCAAATGAAATAATGTCTTCATATTTCCTTCTGCGCATACGCATCACAATTCTAGGACGGTTCAGAAACGGTAATAACTGGAAAACGAAAAAAGCTATTAATTATACCTATTTCTTTTATTATTATTTTGCATAAATAAAATGTTAAAAAAAATTTAAATGCCTTGCGCAAGAGTTCAAAACTGATGTGACAACCAACAGCTACGATGTTTTCAACCAAATTGAGGTTCGTTTGGTTTTTGGGGTTAATCCACGGTTAATCATAGTATCAAAATTATAAAAATATTAAGATCCTCTTTAAAAGTAAAAATACCATTTTTTTTCAGTCAAATACCATTTTTTTAAATACTCGATACCACTTTTTATTTTTTCCATCTGGCAACACTGATCGGTAATAACAAGAACCCGAACAAAGCTAATATTTGTTTCTCTCGTTGCATAGGAGGAGAGAGAAGGAAGGATATATGAACGGTCAAGTGTCAATCTTGTCAGTTTTGGTGGAAATTTTCTTTGTTTATTTTATTAAGAAAAGTGTTTTTCAGTAAAATTTTGGGTATTTTTCTATCCATAATCAAGAACGGCTCTTAGATAAACTATAATATAATGAAAATATAGTGATATGTGATATTACTACTTTATACAGCGGAAATTAAGAAAAATTCAATGTTGCCATAATTTTCCGTTTTTCTGAAAAACGGTAAGGGACCGCCAGGAAACAAGTTCAGATTCGTAATCTACGCCCTCAAAATAGGGTGTATACCAATTTTGGTGAAAATCGGACGATTTCCACTTTTCCCAATAACTACCTCATTTTATATTTCAAGTTCAAAAGAAAATTTTGTCGCCTATGTTTAGTTAACAGCTCTTTAGTTTTTCATTCTTGTTTTAAATATACTGATTAGTAGATATTAAATAGAAATAATAATGTTTTCGGGTGAATTATCAGAAGTAAAAATGGTTCACAATGTATTAAAATCCATTGCAATAAAAGAGGTAATTTATTATAGAAATGAGAAATCATATTCATCTAAATAACATTAACAAACTAAACAATTGTTTTTTCAGTTTGCAGTCCTTCGACCAATGAAAGAAGGATTAAAAATAACAGTTGATGAAATGAGATGTATTGAAGCCTCTGCTTATCTTCCTTGTAACATATTTTCGGCATATGCAATTGACAATGAAGATATAATTTTCAAAGTTAATTTGAAAATATTGACTGAAATTTTAAATATATTTGGTGAAGACGACCATACTAGTTTGAAACTTAGTTATAAGTCAGCTGGTTCTCCCTTATTCTTAATGTGTGTGTATTATAAATTAAATTGAGATATTGGAGTTTAGCTTCATAAACTAATCTTACCTTAATAGAATGAATCATGAAGAAGAGAATATTACTGTCGACTGTGAAATACGGACAGTGAACATTGATGATTTTGAAAATCCAAGTTTGGCAGAGGAGTGTAATATGAATAAAATTGTAATGAATGCAAATATCTTTGGTGAACTCTTAAATAGGCTTGATAGTCCGGCAGAAGAAGTGCAGATTACATTTAGCCCTAGTCATCCATATTTTAAATTAAAAACAACAGGTCTGGTAGTAAGTCCAATTAATAATATATGTATATTATAAATTAATCAGTAATAACTTTATAAATAATTATTAGGGAGAATCAGAGGTTTGTATAAATAAGAATTCAGATTCTGTGACTATGTACCAATGTAATGAAAAAACCAAATCGATATATACATTCTCAAACATTAGACATGTGATTAAGGTTCTTCATCATGCAGATAAAGTGGCTATATCCACGGGGGAATCTGGATTATTAGGTTTACAGTTGGTTATTAATTGTGATGATAATCAAATGTATGTTGAGTTTTATATCACCTCACAATATCAGACTGATTAGTAGTGATAATTAAAATATTATTTTTTTAAATTGTTTCATTTGTAAATTTACCTACCTTCTTCAACGTAGAGCCGTAAAAACCTTTGGCAACCCTTCAGATTCGTTTTATAATTTGGTGAAAATATTTTTGCTGATTTTATGACACTGGTTTATTTAAATATTAAAAAAATATATGAGTACAGCTTCGACTGGCACAGGCAACGGTTGCTTTGGAAATGAGAGAGGAAAGTTCCTTTAGAATTTAGTATCATCTAGATACCATAAAATTGTAGGAACTCCCTGTCGTAAACTGACCCTAAATGCTTTGCAGGTCAATTGCAGGTACTGTAAATAGACTAGTTTATTCTGTTTCACCTTTTGAAAGAAATTATTGTTTATTGTTTAAAATGATATAAGAATTATAGCACAGAATTATAGGTAATGGTGTGGATCCGGTGGCTGACCTTGAAACGAGTTTTTGCTGCATATAGTCACAGAAACTACGCATGCGCATATCTTCGATGTTGCCAGATTGCAAATTATTTTGGAATTATTTTCAGTAGAAAACAAATATTATGTGATATGTATGATCGAAAAACGGCGTCCAGTTGGCTGGGAAATGACGATTGAGGACATTTTCCATATAAAGTGACAGCGATCTTCATTTCATAGTCATCGCTGACGCTATTTTTTCAATCACAGTACGCGGTAGGTATATTATTTATATTATTATTTTAATATTTCGCACAACATGTGAAACGTGAACGCTTATTATGTATTTTCATAGTCAATAAAATTAAATAGAAATAAAACTCTAGATTCCTATAATTAATTTAATTGCTCTAGATTATTATGCTACGTTTAAAAAGTGCTTTATTAAAAATTCGGGAAATTAAAAGGGATATGTCCTAGTTTTTTCTTTTTTTTAATTTTTAAATGCTGTAGGCTGTAGCTCCATGTCATGTTCATAATAGGTTTTTTTTAACATTCCATCAAAACTACGGAGGCCTTAAAAGGCCTTTTAGCCTCCGTAATTGAAATTGTAGAATCAGCTTCAGCAATATTTACAGTTACCTTGTTTAATTCTGCTTATACATATATTGTATTAATTTTTCTGTTACCTTAAGATTTCTCTATTCTTACACCTAATTTATGTGATTTTCTTAGCATAATATGATTTATAAACCATATTTTTCCTAATGGAAGGATGGAATAGGATATACAAAATTAAGATATTTTAACATTTATTTTCCAGACAAAGCATAATATAGTATTAAGATTAAGACATAGCAAATATTATAAGAAAGATCTTTAATATAAATCACAAACTAATTACAAACTAATCTTAAGTTGGTTTTGTATAAACACAGGTATAAAACCTTTTATAAAATAATAAGATCAAAACTCAACCTTCACCATATTGTCAAGGTTTGGCATTATAGGATACAAGAAATTACAGTAAATTAAGAAAAGAATATAAGTAATGTATTCTACGACACAAACCATCTCCCTTCTAACGAGAAAAAGATTAAACATAAAGCTTATTTTAGTCTTATCAACACACTCTTCGTAAAATTGCTATTAATCCACTAACTTGATATTTTTAAGAAATTATGATACAAACATTATAATCAAAGTATATTATATTAGTAACATAGGTAAAATGTTACCTCTATATCTCCCATTGAGGTGTATTGTTTTATAAGACTCGTCATGGTAGTATTTCAAAACATATCAATACATATAATCAAATCTATTGTTGCCTGTAAATAACTAGAAATTAAATAACTTGAAAGAAATAAAATAATTCTAATAAGTTTAAAACTATTAAGAAAGAATCCGTAAAAAATTCTAATGTAAATATATAAATAAATGTTATTATTACAATTTTATATATTCATAATACTTTCATTTCACAATCAAATTTTCAACTGCAAATAATTAATAACGAAAATAAACTGTAATTTGGCAACATCGACGATGTGCGCTTGCGTAGTATCGATGATCAAATGCAGCAAATATGGGCTTCAAGGTCAGCCACCGGATCCACACCTTAAGGGTACGAACATAGTGGAGGCAGGTTTCTGCTTTCCGGCAACCAGCGCCGTCTCTGGGGACCTATTCTTGACCACTCGCATCTTCAAATATCGCTCGCATGTCGCATCTCCTAAAAAGCCATATAACAATACACAGATGCGTAACTTTGCGTATATGCATCACGTGTATTGTATATGGCTATTTCGGAGATGCGAGAAGGATGCGGAAGTAGATAATTAAGAGGAAATTTACCTGATTAACTAACCTAACCTAACCAAACTATATTCAAACGCCGCGCCCGCCTCGACGGGGCCGCACATAGGTGTATTTGGTCTATAAACCTGGCCAAAAGTGATATTTTTTTATTTTCATTTTTTATCTTAACTGAATACAAATCTATAAATACTAAATGTAAGCACGTTTATTAGTTATTAATTTTTTAAGTCGTAAGTTGACTACAAATAAATAATATATTTCAGTTAAAAGTATGAATTATCTTGAGTGTATTCTGAATATTTCTAAGATTATAAAAATAGTGGAATTGTTTGTAGTGCTTTTTTTTGCAAATTGTTCATAATAACTGTCATGATGGATACAGAGCCAGCTTTGTTTGTTTGCTCTGTTCTGTTTTATGCCATACTTTTATTTTGAAACGTTTCCTTCTATTCTATTTTTTTTATAATGTTTTATATTTAAAAAATCAGTGGCATTTTTATAAGGTGTAAGACTATTCGGCAATATTACACATGGAAATTAGTATCTGTTCAATGCTTAAAGTCTCCAGCATTGGAATATGCACAAAAATCTTGCCAATATTTGCCACTACCAAAAAAAAACATTGATTTAAATAGATTCTTAAAGGAAATAGTCTTTACCCTATTAACACCCATCCTCGCTCAAATATCGTCTATAATATACAAATTACTTTCTTGTTCTAGCATCCTCATCCAATTGCTTGGTTTTGCACAGAATGGCCCTATTTGATCGGTAGAAAGGGTTTCAGAGTAGAGGAAAAAATATTGTGTAGGAAAAACAAAATGGGGTTCCATATTAGCAACCTCTCCTCTAATTAATAATTAATATTACTAGAAAAAGCAAAAAAATCATAAAACATAATTTTGGCCAACTTTTAGTTCTTGATACCCCCTGTGCGCCGTCGGCGCGTGCAAAAGCAGAAATAAATAAATTTTCGTTCCGGTAAAAGCGAGAACGCCGATGAATGCTGGTTGACGATGCCTGCCTGCTTTCACTGTGAACTAGCCGATTTGCTATGCCGATTTGATAACACGCTTTAATTTTTCAAGGTTATAAGCGCGAGGCGGCGCGGCGCTACTATGTAACCATATACGGGGTGTCCCAGAAATAAGTGCAAGTATTTTAACTTAACTGGTAGTATAGTTCAACCCCAGAAACACGCCTATGAGGTTTTTTTCTAAATAATTTTTGGTAATGGTGTGGATCCGGTGGCTGACCTTGAAACGAGTTTTTGCTGCATATAGTCACAGACACTACGCATGTGCACATCTTCGATGTTGCCAGATTGCAAGTTATTTTGGAATTATTTTCAGTAGAAAACAAATATGTATGTGCTTTTCAGTGTTTTTTGTCAACATATACCGTATGATCGAAAAAACGGCATCCAGTTGGCTGGGAAATGACGATTGTGGACATTTCCCATATAAAATGACAGCTATCTTCATTTCATAGTCATTGCTGAAGCTATTTTTTTTTCAATCATAGTACGCGGTATATTATTAAATATAATAATCAATAAACAACATACATAGTCAATAAAATTAAATAGAAATAAAACTCTAGATTCCCATAATTAATCTAATTGCTCTAAATTATTATGCTACGTTTAAAAAGTGTTTTATTAAAAATTCGGGAAATTAAAAGGGACGTGTCCAAGTTTTTTTTTAATTTTTAAATGCTGTAGCTTCATGTCATTTTCATAATAGGTTTTTTTTTAACATTCCATCAAAACTACGGAGGCCTTAAAAGGCCTTTTAGCCTCCGTAATTAAAATTGTAGAATCAGCTTCAGCAACATTAACAGTTAGCTTGTTTAATTCTGCTTATACATATATTGCATTAATTTTTCTGCTACCTTAATATTTTTCTATTCTTACACCTAATTTATGTGATTTTCTTAGCATATATGATTTATAAACCATATTTTTCCTAATGGAAGGATGGAATAGGATATGCAAAATTAAGATATTTTAACATTTATTTTCCAGACAAAGCATAATATAGTATTAAGATTAAGCCATAACAAATATTATAAGGAAGATCTTAATATAAATCACAAACTAACTAAATCTTAATTTGGCCTTGTATAAACATAGGTATAAAACTAATAAGATCAAAACTCAACCTTCACCATATTGTCAAGATTTGGCATTATAGGAAACAAGAAATTGCAGTAAATTAAGAAAAGAATATCAAAGTACACGATATTAAATACTGTAATGTATTCAACGACACAAACCATCTCCCTTCTAAAGAGAAAAAGATAAAACATAAAGCTTATTTTAGTCTTATCACCACACTCTTCGATAAAATATATGTTTAAAATTGCTATTTATATTTAATATTACTAACTTGATATTTTTAAGAAATTTTGATACAACCATTATAATCAAAGTGTATTATATTAGTAAAATTATAGGTAAAATCACAGTAAAATGTCACCTCTATCTCCCATTGACATGTATTGTTCTATAAGACTCGTCATGGTAGTACTTCAATACATCAATACATCTATTCAAAACTATTGTTGCCTGTAAATAACTAAAAATTAAATAACTTGAAAGAAATAAAATAATTCTAATAAGTTTAAAACCATTAAGAAAATATCCGTAAATGATAATTTTTAATTCTAATGTAAATATATAAATAAATGTTATTATTATTACAATTTTATATATTTAATTTTATATATCATTCCTTAATTTTGGATATCAAGATAAATCTGAAACTATAAAATTAATTATAGAATTTGGATTATTATTGATTAACACTCAAAAAAAATTTTCAGCTGCAAATAATTCGAAAATAAACTGCAATTTGGCAACATCGACGATGTGCGCTTGCGTAGTATCGATGATCAAATGCAGCAAATATGGGCTTCAAGGTCAGCTCCACACCTTTACCTAATTTTTTTTTGAAAATTCGGAATTTTTTGAAAATATTTTTGGAATTTTTTTGCAATTTTTTTTAGTTTTTATTTAAAAAAAATAATTTCTTGATAATATGGCAACATAGGTAGTAGATTAAATTTACAAGAAAGAAAATCCAGAAAAGATCCAGTGGTTCTCAAACAAATCTCGAAGTATTGGAAAGAATGTGTAAGGACCAAGAACTATTGACTATAATAAAACGACGGAAAGCAGCATATTTTGGTCATATTTTTCGAAATAACAAATATAGTTTCCTACAGCTGATCGTTGAGGGAAAGATTGAAGGACGACGAGGCATCGGGCGTAAACGGTTTTCCTGGTTGCAGAATTTGCGCCAGTGGTTTAATATAGGAGAGGCCAGTGCAATTATCCGTTTGGCTCAAGACAGGGAGGAATTCCAATTGACGGTCGCCAACCTCCGATGAGGAGAAGGCACATGAAGAAGAAGGTTCTCAAAATTTTAGCAAAAAATAATTTTTTTTTGGAAATTAACTCCATTATTTTGGACTTATTTGAAAAACGATAAAGAGAAAATATGTTTCTTTTATCGAGATCTACCACCCTTTAAAATACTTGCACTTATTTCTGGGATACCCTGTTTATAACAATACACGTGATGCGTATACGCAAAGTTACGAACGATGTCAAGAATAGGTGCCCAGATTGGCGCTGACTACCAGTAAGCGGCAAACCTGCTTGCACTGTGTTCGCACACTTACGCCGATACGCCGTTTTTAGGATAGTGTGGCTGCACCCTGATATAACCTAACTTCTAACTTACTTTTCAAACTCAAATTTAAGGTTTTGTATTCACAATTTTAGCCACGCACATTGTTCAATTAGAAAAAAACACGTTTCTAAAAGCTAAATCTGGTAAAAATATGCCCAAATATTAACTAAACTCTATAATTTATAACAAAATAGTAATTCTTGCCATAAGAAGTTGTGTATTTTTCAATTATGTTTTCAATCTCTTTGATCACATACGCCCCTAACGGCGATTTTCGAACTTCATTTAGATCATGAAATCTGGGCCCAAAATTTTTGCGTTCGATTCGCGTCCTCCTTTTAGAATTTCACTAAATTTAAATTGCCCCCCGTATGGTTGAAAACAGCAAATTGATATTTGATTACTTATAGATTACCACCTATATACAAAATGACACGGAGACCTGGAATATGGCGCCCAACTTGATTAGACCTTCTGCGCATGTTGAAGCTCATTCTCTATCCCTTCTATTTCTCTGGTTGGAAGATAAATTTAGCGGAACAAAAGCGTTTGGTTAGAAATAAGCCAAAAAATGTGTACTGATAAGAATAAATAGTAGACATTCCAATTGATACAAAAATGGATGAATATTCTTTGTATTTCGATACATTTTTATCAACCAAATTTGGTGGTTTTCTGCTCAGCAAAGCAGAGATCTTACGAAAACAAAATATTTACAGGTGCTTATACATTTTATTAGAAAGCCAAATTATGTTGAAGATTGCCAAATGTATGTACTTTTCTACTGTACGTATATTATTTGTTAAAACCCTTCGTGCCTTTGTTCTGCAGATATCAAACTTTCACTTTTTTTTCAAATATCGATATATTGAATGATGTAGATCGTTTGAGTTACCAATAGTTACCAACACAGGTAGTCACAGTCACAGGGAGTTCAAGCTTAACAGGCGAATGCCCAAAAAGATTCATTTCAATCGGATAGTATAAAAACAAAACAACTCCATCAAAAGGCACTGAGTTTAAAAAATTGTCTTAGATACTTACTATATATGAATTTACAATTACCGAGTGTTAAAATTAAAATTAAAATATCTATCTTAATTATTTATTATTTTCAAAATAAACTATATTTTTTTAAAATAAATTATAAAGGGTGTCACAAGATTACAAATTAATTAAAAAAAACTGCTAAAGAGTTTTTTGATATCATAATTTTATGTATTTGGCAATAGTTTACAATACCGGTTTTTGTGTGTCATGTACGAATAATATCATAGTTTTATTATCTTGTATTTATTTATTAATAAATTAAGTTGTTAATAAATAAATAAATTTAACCATAATATAGTTGCTATATATTAGACCATTTGCTACGTTCTTAGATTTTAAATCCCAAACATTGCTCTTGAGGTTTTGTCCCGCTAGAATAACCATCCGCCGCACTGTGGAGCGCTGGTCAGCGCGTGACGTAGCATTCCACGGCGACTCGAAAGGCGACTCGACAGCGGCGATTTGAGGCGATGGAACAGTCCTTTAGAATATATTATGAATATATACAGTCCTTGGGCAGCCACGCTGTTTCCATAATTTAACATTGACTTGACACTTCTTCTTGTATTTATTATTTTATGGTTGTATTTTGTTTGGCCGATTATTATGCTGTTGCCCCAAGCAACAATAGGCCATTTCAACTTTCGAAGAAGAAGAAGCCAACCTAAAATATATTTCCTTTGTAGCCCAAAAAATCCCAGAAAACTTTTGAGAATCGCCCAATCTGCGACTAGTCGCAGAAAGATAAAATGTGTCCCAAAATGATTTTTAAAGTAGCCGAATCTGCGATAAGTCGCCCAATCTGGCAACCCTGTGTGAAGTATGATGTGAAGTTTGTCGAAGTTGAAGTGATGTGGAATTGTAGGTTATGTTTTTTGACTTTTGACCAATTTTGTATTTTAGGTATGTGATGAAGTGTATCTGAGTTAAACAAATTTAAATAATTGTAAGCAAGCTAATAATTTGAAATGAGTTTAGCTTTTAAGCAGGCTCTTGCAATATACAAAAAGAGTGCCAAAAATGAGTATTTATTTCTATTACGAAAATACGGCACTAATTCAGCATCCTGGAATATACCAAAACTTATTGAAATTGACAAAAACTACCTTTGTAATTCACATAATATCGCTTTAATTCAAGAAAATATTTTAAAGAGAAAAGGTGTTGGCGATATTATTTTAGTGAATGAGCTCTATAATCAACTTAATAAAATTAAACCATCTGATATAAATTATAAGGATATTGAGAAAGAATTTTATAAGCAATGTTTATTAATTCCAAATAAAACTCACCCCGATTTATTAAATTTGGGAGAAGATCCACATTTGATAAAATATGTAGGCAAAAAGAAAGAGTTTGATTTTCCATATAAAGAATTTCCAGAAATATGCAAACGACTAAATTTAGCAAGAACTGATCAGTTGGGTAGCTTATCTGGTAGCAAAAGTTACTACTTACTGGGGAAGTTGGCAGAGTTGGAGCAAGCTTTAGTAAGGTATTTTTTAGTAAATCTACTTAAGAACAGCTTTCAGTTAATATCTGTGCCTGACATATTACCCAGAAATGTCATCGAGAGCTGCGGAATGAACACAAGAGGTGATAGAACACAAGTAAAAAATATTTTTACAGTAAAATATTTGAATAAAAAGACTAAGGAAGGAGTCTAATATGGTTTAATATTTTTTTATTCATGCATTAGAGGCAGACAGAATAACATGCAGGTCACCAGAGGAACAATTTCTACGGTGGCGCCATCGCGTTAACAGATTATAAATTACAATTGGGGGTTGGAACTTTTGGTGTTACACAGCAAAATAAAACAATAAAACACCACAATACACCAAAAGACTTATTTTTACTCTGAATAGTGTAAAGTAGTGTGTAAAGACCACATTGAATAGTGAAAAAGTGTTTTGGTGTATTGTGGTGATTTAGTGTTTTATTTTGCAGATTATAAATTGTTTTGAATTCAAGAAATTGAAAGCAATCAGATTTGTATTAAAATATTAATACGAATTATAAAAAAACATTAACCCCCAAAAAAGTTGAAACCAATGCAATCAAACCTATTTTGTGCAACTATATATTTAATGATAGTTGAATCTCGTAGGCAAAATAGCAGCTATGGGTTGGAGTTGTTCCTCCAGCCATTGCCTAATGAAAGACTATACATCATCACATGGGTCATCATGACTTTCCATTTTTGACAGTTTTGTTTGATGTTTCGATTGACAAACTTGAATTATTTAATTTGCAGTTTTGCAGATTCGTTGCGCATTTTTGAGCTTATTATACAGTATGTCCCCAGACTCTCTTTACAAGAGGAAAAACCTTTTTATTTTTAATATTTTCTGAAAAATGCATTCTTTATAAAAAACGTTGCTTGTTTTAAAATGGTTAATCTCGTTTATACTTTTCCAAATTTCCATACAGTTTTAGAGAAAATTAAAAAAAACATGAAGACAATTGTAAGACCCTGTATATTTTACCTCATAATATTCAGATATATTTTGAACGCCGTAACAAAATCACACCAATTTTGTCAAGCGAGGCTTCAAAGCTTATCGCTCCAGATTGTTTAGACTACGTAAGGGCAAGCGGCGATAATATAAACAGAACGCTGGTCACGGCACTTAAAAAAATATATCTTAAGGCTCATAGTTTTTTATGAAAGACGCACACAATATCGGAGAGGTTCAGTTTAATATTTGGGTGGGCATTTAGTTGCTTTTGAATCTTTTAAAGAAGTGGAGTGTCGGTAAATGTTAATTTAAATACGATTTAATAATTAATTTAAATAGTTAAAAAATTGTGACAGTGTTGAGGCAGTGTTAAAGATCCATTAAAGGGTGAGTTGATTCACTGAGTATGCATTCTCTACATGTGCTGTTTTAATTTATAATTGATTTATTTAAGAGTATGAATTTAAAGAGTTATCTTCTCTATAATTATTTGTTTGTATCTGTAACTGAAACAGACCTTTGCGTTTGGTGTCATTGCACGTCTCAGTACAGGGTAAATATATTATTTTTAAGTTATTATTAATAGTGGCAAGGGTTCACTAGGCTGGTGGCAAGGGTTCACCAGTTGTTTAAAGAGCTAGTGGCAAGGGTTCACTAGACTGGTGGCAAGTTTTCACCAGTTGTTTATAGAGCTAGTGGCAAGGGTTCACTAGACTGGTGGCAAGGGTTCACCAGTTGTTTAGAGAGCTAGTGGCAAGGGTTCACTAGGCTGGTGGCAAGGGTTCACCAGTTGTTTAGAGAGCTAGTGGCAAGGGTTCACTAGGCTGGTGGCAAGGGTTCACCAGTTGTTTAGAGAGGGATCTTCGCGTTTAGTGCCGTAAGATATGTTTTGGACATTTGTGAAGGGTGTTTTGCGTTTAATACCAGTTGTAACATTTGAACTGTGATATTTTAGCTTAATAATAAATATCAGGAATTTTGTAGGACCGGCATACTCACAAAGATTTTTCTTTTCAGGCAAGTCTATGTCATGAACCATCCTGAACAAGAACCTGCCTTACCCATAGCCGTTCGAATTAAAGTTTGGTTTCTTTTAAGTTTTTGTTTATTTATCAATGATTATTTTATATTTTGTTTACATTTATTAAATTCGATTAAAATTTAATATGCTCAGGCTTTTTGGTACCATACAATGACTAAGGAATATAAGGACATGTAACGCCCCTATATGGGCTGCAGCAGAATTTGTGACCTTTTTTTTTTTTTTTGGTGGCAAACAATGAGTCATCATTTGGTCACCAGCGACAATTTTAGCGATTTTTAATAGTTTGTGTGTAGTAAACTTTGTATAAACTTTATTACAATGGTGATTAGTTGTTCAGCTTTCAAGTGTAAAAGCAGCAGCGATAAGAAAGAGCCGGAGTTACGTTTCATAGGTAAATAAACAGTCCACTTCAACTTTTTAGCGTTTTCTTATTGAATTCGATAATTATTCTTCAATTTCAATTAACATCTATATGTACTTGATATGTGCTATACGTCGATACTAGCTTTGTACCTTTTGTTAACATTTTAATACGTTTTTTTCGTAATTAATTAGGATGATACACCATAGGCGTAGTCAAAACAATTATCAAAAAATATAAATATTGCTTCAAACAGCTAGGTTAAGAAAAATATGTGCCACGGCACTGTTTGGTGACATCGTCACAATTTGCTCTCGGGTGTTATTTGTCCTTGGATTCTTTAGTCATTGGATGAAGATATGATATAGTTCTGGTAATTTTCGTTTCTATGGTAATACAATATAATTTTGTTTTCATTCTTTGATAGATTGATAGAATTTTAATTAACGTCATATTTTTTACTGTTTTAAAGTATTAAAGAAGCACAAACAGAAACGCGTCTTGATTTTTAGGTCTTAAAAAAAATTCAATTTCATGTTTTTTTTTTCTCTAAAACCGTATGGAAATTTGGAAAAGTAGGTATAAACGCCCGGGATTAACCATTTTAGAACAAGCAAACTTGAGAACTAATGTCAAATATTATTAAGTATCACAGTTTCATGTCAAATAATCGTTAAATAATCGTTAAATAAAACTGAACACATCGGAATTAATTAAATCAAATTGTTTAAGTGATATTTTCAAAAATCAATAACTCGGAAACGGTTGGTTTGAGGTACATTGTGTGTATCTCAATTTTTGCTTAGAATTGCAGGAAGAATTGAAATATGTAATAATATACAGGGAATTTCATTAAAAAAATGAAACTTTATGCTATGACCGACCCTGTATACTTAAATTTACTACTCGCCAATAGACATTTAAAAACCCTATACCTACCTTTTATATTTAACTTTTTGCGGTACCTCGTATATTTTACGTAATAATTGACTGTTTCCATATATATCAGCGACCCTGTATATACATATATATCAATAAAAAACGGCGTCAGTGATGTCTATGAAATGAAGATTGCTGTCATTTTATATGGAAAATAATATGGGGAATGTCATAGATTGTCATTTCCAAGCCAACTGGACACCGTTTTTTTTTCGATCTTACGGTATTTATTGACAACGTAAAACAAAAGCAACAAATGATTGGATCTAATCTACTCTATTATATTTTTATTTATAATTAAAATTTGAACGCTACTATATAACATAATATAGAACACCATATACCAGGATTTAACTCAGACATATTAATCCCCCATCGCGTTTGACTCAAGTTTGCTAATACGCTCCTTCTTTAATCTTTTTTATTCAAAGTGTAAAATACACAAACATATGTTTATGAATGTTATAGGTATATTCATTAAATTCTAATTTACATGGTCCAGATTTGTGTTTATCTGGGACCTCAGAAATTGCATTAGCTGGTTATTTAGCAGAGGAAGTTCTTGATTACACTGAACTGCCTTTGAAATTATGCTCAGTCAGTCGATGCTATAGAGCTGAAACATCTAATCTTGCTGAAGAAAAAGGAATATACAGGTATTTAGTTTATTTAGGTGATTAAGGCAATTCCTAAGTATTATTATTTTAGAGTTCATGAATTTACCAAAGTAGAGATGTTTATAGTAACAACTCCTGATACATCGGATCAAATGCTAGATGATATTAGAAAGCACCAGGAAGAATTTTTTGAATCTTTAGAATTGCACTTTCAAGTTTTAGATATGCCTCCGCATGAACTAGGGGCTCAAGCATATAGAAAATATGATATAGAGGCTTGGATGCCAGGCAGAAATATGTATGGTAAGAATAAATTTGCGTTGAATAAATGTGGATATTAGAGATGAGCAAAACTTCGATTCTCCAATCGCAATTGAAACTGCGATTGCGATTTTTAAATTGCAGCGGCATTTTGTATTTAGAGTGTCATTTTCTATTGAATAAAGTAAAAAATACCGAGGGTGTCATTAAAAATCAAAAGTTATAGTGATTTCCGACGAGACAGGAAGTGACCTAAAATAATTGAATACGTCAATCAATCCTAATTTATGTCATACACTAACATACGAAATCTCGTTTTTTTTTTATCAGAAAAAATAAAAAAGTTATAGGGGTAAACCACTTTTGAGAAACACCCGGTATATTATGATCGTGTGCCCTAAAAAATAATATATAAATAATATCAGAGAGAAAATGCAATTGCAGTTTACTATAAAATGCTTCAATAGACCACAAAATTACATTCACAATATCGCAAATTGCAACTCAAAGCAAAATCGCAACAAAGTCGCAAATCGCAGCTATAGTAATACTGGTTGTCTAAATTGAAATTCGCAATCGCAGTTTTCTATGAGAGCCCAATCGCAAGCGCAAATCACAGGTTGCGATTGCGATTTTAAAATAACTGCGATTCATTCGCAGCGAGTTACTTGCTCATCTCTAATGCATATAAAGGAGATACAAATTAAAAACCGTTGTACGTCATCGAGCACGTGTTTACATTTTAGGCAGCATTGTTGCCAGATTGTAATAGCAACCAAATCTAACCAAAATATTTTTGAAAAATGTACAAAATCTAAGATCTAAAATTCTAAAATAAACTTTAAATTGAACAGTTTTAATTAGTTTCAGGCAGTGCTAAAAAAATATTTTTAAACAATACATGTTTTTATTGTTTAAAGCAATTTTTAGGTTAGTTTTTACCAAAAGCTTTATTTTTATGTTTTACTTACTTCTGGAACCGCCTTTAAAGGTAACGACGGGTCGTTATTGTCTCTTTCCTTCTCAAGATATTGTATCAGAGATGACATTAACTCTTGGCACTGACTGTTAAATAAACGTGGCACCGTTGCAACCGCTTCCTCGGCGTTGCCAACACAATATCGAGAGGTAACTTTAAAACTTATTTACTGTCCTTCATTCACGCAGTTGTGCAGCTCTGAACTGTTCAAGAACGCGATACTCTCACTTAGAGATCTGCACGGGCCGGGTAGCCCGAACGGGTCTAAGGCCCGTAGGGGGGGGGCCTCGGGCCAGGCCGGTCTCGAACTGTAAAAAACACAGCTTTGCTTCTGTACGTGTTCTTGAGACACCCTGTATTATAACAGGTATTTTTAGGCTATGTTTATGTTTACGTTTTTTTATTTTGCGTATACATACGTATATTTGTAATTTTATTTTGATCATTTTATTTTAATGGTTCGGGCCGGGCTGGGCCGGGCCAGACTAGTTTAAGTTTTAACTTTTCACAAACCGGGCCGGGCTTACAAAACCTACTTCTCATATCGGGCCGGGCCGGGTGGGGCTACAAAAAATCGGCCCGTGCAGGTCTCTACTCTCACTCCATTCAATTGAGTCATAAAGTTCAGAACTGTTCCGACCATTTGGAGGCACCAGGCTATCGCGCACATCTTTTTTGAGAACAGTTCTCGAGTAGCCCAGGGCGTAAAGCTCCGGAACTTGAAATTCACGAATGGAGGACAGCAATTGAAAACGTCCCATTAGGGCTATATTTGTGTAGTGGCAGCACTGCGTACATTTATCTAATCTGTTGCCTAATCGATAGCGTGCAACGGTTTTTATTTTGCACGTCCTTTAATCAGGTTTTAATCATTTTTAATGATGAATTATTTTATCACATACTATAGGAGAAATATCAAGTTGTTCAAATTGTACAGATTTTCAATCAAGAAGATTAAACATAAAGTATAAGAAAGCTGATGGAACTCTAGATTATGTACACACTTTAAATGGTACTGCTTGTGCTGTTCCGAGGTTGTTAATTTCTTTAGTTGAAACACATCAACAGTCCAATGGAACCATATATGTACCCACTACTTTAGAAAAGTTTTTGAATGGAAAAGAACCAATCAAAAAGCAAAAATTCATTCCACAACTACTCCTAATAAAGAATAAAAAGTAATTTTACTCATATGATATTTTCAATTCTTCATAATTCCGTGCGTTTTGTCCTTTTAACATAGTATTCGTATTGTAATCGCAAAACATTTTCCGATGCCAATCAATCATATCGACATTGACACTAAAGTCTATAAACCTGACTAAATGAAAATTTGGAAAAAATGTTTAAATTTGTTGTATAATTTAATATACCGAGCAGCTTTTCATTTTACTTTATAGAGCAAATGATTGTAACAGATATTTTATTTAGATTAAAGCTGCAAAAATTAGTTTAAACCAAATTTTATTGTAGCTATGTTGGTCACATTGCGCCGTGTTCAGCAATGTGTCCTTTATTATTTGACAATTATCCTAGTGTCTGTCATTATTTTCTATAATATGGTGTTGTCGTTGAATCTTTGTAAGTAATTCTCGTTTTTTTTGCCTATTTTCATAGTCTTTTTTTAAAAATTGCACTTTTAAGCACAAACAGATCTTTTAAGAAATAAATTTTCGAGTTTTTGTATTACATTTCTTGAAATTGTGTGTTGAAAATATGCCGAAGCATTTAAACAGTCGAAGCAAAGAGCTTCTAGCTTCCCTGTTTTTTAAACCTATTTTGAAGCAGAACGTGACAATAAAGGTCCTTTATTACCCTTGACTGCAGTCAGAAAAGTACGATTGATTGTTAAGCACATTATACCACTTTCAAAGTTAGTTTTTATTAAATTCTGTGATTATTAGTTTGTTCATTAATAGCACCCTTTTACTTGTTATTACCACTTATGGCATTGTAATTTGTAATATGTACATCAATAAATAAATAATCCATAATAACGCTTATAATAATCTTCATAATGGACTAGTTTTTGCCAATATGTAATAAGTCAAATAACCTATAAAACAAATAAATCAAATAATTACTAAAATATTAGTTATTAAATTAAAAATAAAACGTAAACCTCTTAAAAAATTATTTAATAAATTATGTTGTTTGTCAATTTTAAATTAAGATTCATCTCATAAATCCATTACAATCCGGCAGCGCTGTCGCCATCGCTTGTCACTGACAGTTGATCACGTGCATCGGAAATTGTTTTGCGATTACCATAGGTTAATAAATAAAAAACAAAATTGGCTATTTGCATTTTACGATTTATTTATAAAATATTTAGACCCTAAATTCTGGAACGAGCATGTTTGATCTAGACATTTTAAAGAGTCCTTTCCAATTTTCATTATTTTTTCTGTACTTATGCGAAGTCTTGGAATAGAGGAGTCTTCTTTTTGTCAATACTTTCTCGTTGTTTAAATAATTAGACGGAGGTGAAGAGTCTATGTTTCTTTTTTTAAGGTAATTGAAACAACAGCTTCTGAAATGTTTAGATCCGCAGGCTGAACTGCACTCTGGTCCACAGGATAAACAAGATTTTTTCTTCTGGATTTGTTGTTGGCAGAAAGATTCTAAAAATAATTAATTCAATATGATCAAAACGATTTATCTGAAGCGTGCTTTTTGCACACATTACACACACATGGTATTTTTTTTGTAATCATAGTTAAATCCGGCGAGGGGTATACAGGGTCCGGCAATATTGCGTCGGGCATCTGTAGCTCGTAGAATAAAAAAACTTAGGAATTTTGTTTTAGTGCTAACCTAAAGTATGTATTAGAATGTATTTCAGGAAAATATAACTACCAGATGGCCTAAAAAAGTGGGAGTGCATCGCGTTTTTCTAAAATGGAATACCCTGTATATTATCGCATTTTTGGCTTCTTTTCTGATCACTTTACATAATCCTAAGATATTATTAAATATGTTTTGATAGTTTTGGAAATATTAACAAATAAATAAATAAAAATATTTTTTCAGCCTTTTTTAAAATAATTTTTAAAAATAGAAGAAATGGTCTGAAATCAAAACTATACTAGGTATTAACTATAGTTTGTTTTTACTTACTTTCCTATAAATATTGTAATCTAAAATCATACAGGGTGTTCAAAATTCTATGCCGAACTTTTTAAAATATAAATTAGAGCTCTTCTTCTTCGATATTTTAAATGGAACGTTATATTAGATGGAAAATTAAAAAGTGAACATTTTTTTGTATTTAATGTATTTAAAAATAAAAAAAAAATCAGTTCGATATTTAAAGGAAAGTAAATACAGACCAACTGTAGTAAACGCCTAGTATAGTTTTGATTTTAGATTTTAGGACATTTCTTCTATTTTTAATAAGTATTTTAAAAAAGGCTGAAATTTTTTTTTTTAATTTGTTAATATCTCTAAAACTATCAAAACATATTTAATAATATCTTAGGATTGTGTAAAGTGATCAGAAAGGCAGCCAAAAAATGCAATAATATACAGGGTGTTCCATTTAAAAAAGTCATCGCGATCCACTCATACGTTTTTGGGTAACCCTGTATAAGTTAAAATCTTTTCCTGAAATACATTCTAATACATAGTTTAGGTTTGCACTCGTTTGTCAAACGGAAGATTCAGTAAACAAAATTTTGATGGCCCTCTTCGTTTCTGAGCTACGGGGTCTTTTTGAAAATTTTGCAATTTGGGACACCCCCTGTATCTCTGTTATTGTTAAAGGTTACAGTTGAGGGTTGGAACCTTTAGTGTTACATAGCAAAATAAAACACTAAATCACCACAATACACCAAAACACTTTTACTTTTACACTGGACGCGCGTTTCGCTAACCATGTTAGCATCATCAGCAGATGATTATAAACTAAAATACAATCTACAATTGGAGCGTTTATATACTGGCTCAGTAGACACAGAGTGAGCGTGGCAAGATCTAGCCAACCGAGTCAGAACCCACCGAGCGTAACAGTTAGATTTCCGCCACTAGAGTAGTAGGAACAAAGAACTTGAAGGAATTGGGCCGTTGTCTCTGTTCATACTATCTTTACATTTATTAATTCTGATGCTTTCATATGCATCTAATTGCCTGTAATTTGAGACTTATTTAATTAATTTCACGTTATTAAGATCTATACAATGTTGTTTATCAACAATATGTACGGCAACGCAAGATTTATCCGGTCTACCATATCTTATCTGAGCTAAATGTTCTTTAAATCTAGTTAATATTGATCTTCTAGTTTGCCCAACATATTTCTGATTACAATCTTTACAAGAAATTTCATAAATACCCGACCTTTCCAGTAGAGGTGTTTTATCCTTTGGATTACCTAATAATTGTTGTAATTTATTATTAGCACTATACACAAGTTTATAATCGACATTCTTAAAAATTCCTTTTAGGCCACGGGATAACTGTCTATCAAACGGTATTGAAAAATATTTTGACGTATCTTGCTCCACTTGAAAAGTCGAATTTTCAGAAATCATTAACCTATATCTACGTTTTCTAATTATTTTATCAACTAGTGAAGGAGAATATCCATTACACTCAGCTACATTCCTAATGTAATCTCTTTCTATTTCATATCTTTCGTTGGAAAGTGGAAAACTAAGTAATCTATGAACTAAGAAATTTAAACTAGCCATTTTATGTTCAATACTATGATAGGATTCATTAGGAATATATCTGCGTGTAGTGGTATTTTTTCTATAGATATCAAATTCCAGGCAATTATTCAATTTAATAACAACTTTTTTGAACAGCGGGAAGGTACAGCAATGGGTAATCCATTGTCTCCATTTTTGGCTAATTTATTCATGAGCAGGTTTGAAGTGGAGGCTAAGAATCAGTTTGAGTATTTTCCAAGAGTATGGTTTAGGTATGTGGATGATATTTTTGCTGTTTTTGACACACATTCAGACACCATAGATAATTTTATTTCTAAATTAAATAATCGTTTTCCTTCCATTAAATTTACACATGAAATTGAGAACAACGACAGATTACAATTTCTAGATGTATTAGTTATTAGAAATACTAATAATTGCCTGGAATTTGATATTTATAGAAAAAAGACCACTACACGCAGATATATTCCGAATGAATCATATCATAGTTTTGAACATAAAATAGCTAGTTTAAATTTCTTAGTTCATAGATTACTTAGTTTTCCACTTTCCAACGAAAGATATGATATAGAAAGAGATTACATTAGGAATGTAGCTGAGTGTAATGGATATTCTCCTTCACTAGTTGATAAAATAATTAGAAAACGTAGATATAGGTTAATGATTTCTGAAAATTCGACTTTTCAAGTGGAGAAAGATACGTCAAAATATTTTTCAATACCGTTTTAACAACCACGTTTTAACGAACATTTAGCTCAGATAGACAGTTATCCTGTGGCCTAAAAGGAATTTTTAAGAATGTCAATTATAAACTTGTGTATAGTGCTAATAATAAATTACAACAATTATTAGGTAATCCAAAGGATAAAACATCTCTACTGGAAAGGTCGGGTATTTATGAAATTTCTTGTAAAGATTGTAATCAGAAATATGTTGGGCAAACTAGAAGATCAATATTAACTAGATTTAAAGAACATTTAGCCCAGATAAGATATGGCAGACCGGATAAATCTTGCGTTGCCGTACACATTGTTGATAAAGAACATTGTATAGATCTTAATAACTTGAAATTAATTAAACAAGTCTCAAATTACAGGCAATTAGATGCATATGAAAGCATCAGAATTAATAAATTAAAGATAGTATGAACAGAGACAACGGTCCAATTCCTTCAAGTTCTTTGTTCCTACTACTTTAGTGGCCTACACGGCCTACTAATAAGAAAATGATGTATTTTAAATATTGAAGTAAATAGTGAAAATAAATATATGTATAGGAACTTTAAAACATTTTCCGAGGCACGTCATCAATCACATTGAAATTGACACTAAAGCCTATAAACCTGACTAAATGAAATTTTAGCAAAAATGTTTAAATTTATTTACTTATTTAAGATACCAAGCAGCTCTTCATTTTACTTTATAGAGCAAATGATTGTAACAGATATTTTATTTAGATTAAAGCTGCAAAAATTAGTTTAAACCGATTTTTATTATCGCCTTGTTGGTCACATTGCGTCATGTTCAGCAATGTTGTCGTGTATTATTTGACTATTATCCTAGGGTTAGTCATTATTTTGTATAATATCATGTTGTTGAATTTTTGGGAGTAATTCTCGTTTTTGCCGTTTTTCATAGTTTTTTTTCTTAAATTGTACTTCTAAGCACCAGCAGTTTTAAGAACTAGATTTTCTAGATTTTTTACTGCATTTTCTGAAATTGTGGATTGAAAATATGCCGAAGCCTTTAAACAGTCGAAGCAAAGCGCTTTTAGCTTCCCTGATAAAATATTTTGAGCGCAAACGTGACAATTAAGGTCCTTTATTACCCTTGAATGCAGTCAGAGAAGTAAGATTGATTGGTAAGCACATTATACCACTTTCACGTTATTTCTACCTATTTCAATTTGTAGCGAGTAACTGCTGACTTAAAAAAATGATATAAAGATTATATACTAAATATATTGTTTGTCACTTTTAAATTAAGATTCATCTCATAAATCCATCACAATCTGGCAGCGCTGTCGCCATCGCTTATCACTCAAAGTTGATGACGTGCATCGGAAAATGTTTTAAAATTTCTATAGAGTGATATATATTTTTGAGAAGCTCATAGCAAGATGGATTATATCGTCAGTGAAACATGATAACCTGCTAAGTCCATTTTTTACGTTAATAAGTTTTTTTATACCATTAGAAAGAGAAAAAAATACTCTATAAGTAGGGAAAGCAAATACATTTTTCCCATTAAAAAACATTTGCTATTTTAACTCAATAATATCTGATAACTCCCAGTGATCTGAAATAGCCACCGAAATGCTGCCATCTCCGTAATTTCCGTTACGATCACGCTAAAACAAACACACGGATTCTTACTCATATGTTTCTTTAGTACAGTACGTCGATCCAGGGTCCCACTAAGCCAAAGGGGCCCGGGTGACAAGTAAGGGGGGACCCGTGTGGATTTTTTGCTTATTTTTTCGCCTTATGTTTTGGTCAATTTTTCCCTATTATATACAGGGTGAGTCTTAAATAAGGGCAAATATTTTTAGGGGTAGTATATTTCGACCCAAGAAACACGATTGTGAGGATTTTTTGGAAATTTTGGAAATTTTTTTAATTTTTAATTTAAAAACATGCTTTGTTTGTGATATGGCAACATAGGTAGTACATTAAATTTATAAGAAAGAAAATCCAGTGATTCTCAAAATTTTAGCAAAAAAATGGAAATTTTAAAAGTGAAATAAATTGATTTATTTGAAAAAACGGTAAAGAGAAAATATTATATTTCTTTTACCGAGATTTACCAGCCCTGAACATACTTGCACTTATTTAAGACTCACCCTGTATATAAATCAGGTAGCTACCCTAATTCAAGGTAAACCAATGGCACCAAGCCATAATGCAATGCAAATACAAATATTGTTAAGAATAAATAATGAACTAG